ATCTGTACATGTAAAAAAAGCAGAAGATTTTTACCACGGTTACTTCATATTTCTGTATGCTTACTTTTCTTCCTCTTCCAACAATTGGACTCTTCCTGTAAATATAGGACTCATTTTATAGTATAATTTACACTACAAAATGGATCTTACATTTAAGATCAGATGAGTGTATTTTTATCCAAGAACCTGCACTAAACACCAAAGGAAACTTTATCTGAAGAAATCCTCATGAGCATTTAAAAACTATAATATCTTCTGTCATGCAATTTTTTCCGTGCTGCAAAATCATCAGGTATTCAACGAGATAAACAGCCGTGACATGGAGAAGATCAATGTTTTCCGAGGCATATTCAGCAGCTGGATCTTCCTGGGAGTTTTGGCCTCAACAATATGTTTCCAAGCCATACTTGTTGAATTTCTGGGTACCTTTGCTCAAACAGTACCACTAAGCTGGGATCTATGGCTAGCCAGTGTCTTAATTGGTTCAGTGAGCTTACCCTTAGCCGCCATTGTCAAATGCATCCCCGTTCCAGTGGCTGGTTTCGTGGACCATCACCATCATCATGATTACGTACCCATCCCGAGTGGCCCAGATATGGCTTGAAACAAAGATTCAACACTTCACAGCAATTTTGGTAAATAATGCACTCCTCCTAATTAGTTCTTCCTCATCATCAACTAATCATCACTTCTTAGTTTGCTTCCACTTTCATATTACATGCGTGTCTAGTTTCGAAAACCACTAAATATCGTGGTTTTGTTGAGACCAAAGCACACGTTTCTATTAAAACTATGACTTTTAAGTGTTTTTTAACACAAAACCAGACACATTTTATTACTTCTCATCTCCTAAGCATGCATATGCAGTGCATGAACATATTTCCAGTCTATATTCTTGGCCTTCTTTCCTTCTACTTGTTTCTTGGGGTCAAAAAAAAAAAAAAGAACAAATTTGCCTCCCTGGTTCTCTTCCATCTGCCATCATTCCAATTCTCATTCTCCTAGGGTGCAGCATCATTCTTTTGAGTCAGAAAAGCATAGGTTTATTTACCTCTTTTTTTTTATATTTGTTTTCCGTTTTTGGATCTATAAAGATTACGTTGTTTTTACTCGTTATAGAAGTAGAACAGAACATATTATCATGATCATGAGCGTGAAATTAGATTTGGTTACGTTTGGACAAGTAACATTGTTTTATTCAATTTTGTAAGATTTTTCTTGAAGATAGTGATAAAAATCCAGTGACATTATTAAGCCTTCAAATATTCATGAAGAAACAAAGCTAGAATCGTTGGCTGGATTTCTAATTGCCTTACATTTTCCATTTTCAAGTGCATTTCCATCAGCAACTAAACAAATCAGTTGGAGGAATTAATGTTATAATTAAATAAATAAATTCATATTATTAAGTTAAAATTTGATAGTAAAATAGAAGCCCCGGGGGGGGGACCAAAATCATCTTTATGAAATCAAAGGAATAAGCTTAAGAAAGAGACGTGCATGTCTTCTGGTATAATAGGAGAGTAATAAGAGACTGAATATAATTGTCAAAACTGCCTTTACATTTTACAATATCAAGAAGATAATTATAATTTTTTTTTATTTATTTTAGGACTATTGTTGATTTCATCCTCTTCCACGGTTGTGTTTCATTGATTTTTGTGAGATTACGTATCAATCTCAGGCGAAAATAAATACAATAGCAGCAGATCTTTTTAATAAGTTTTCTCAAGAACTTGTGAAAAAATACACCCAATAAGTTATACTTCTAAACATCACAGGAAGACTTCTACAAATTTTAATCCCAATTTTGTGGTATGAAGTTTAATTGAGATTTTTATTACAAGTCCTTTTACAATATTCAGGAGCCAAACATAAAATTTACAACTTATTTTATGTGTTTTTTACAAGTTCTCTGGAAAAAAGAACCTATTGATAATTATTCTGTTTACGTGAGACTTGTGTCTATTTTCTTTCTCAATCCTTTGGTTAGAATGGGTATGGTCTAATTTTTTTCTCACTTCTTTATAAACATACTAATCAATAATAAAAATGCCTTCTTTTTAGTACTTAAAAAATGTTGAATTATATATTAAATTAAAAAAAATTCATCATTCTAATCATTCCTGCTCATGGAAGGGGGGGGAAAAAACTTACAACATAAAAAAGCCGGATGCATTTTTTAGGAGTCTAAACCCTATAATGGACTTTGAGAGGACAAAAGGAAAAAAATCACCACGTCCATAATAATACAACCAAATGATTTCTTTGAAATCTTTGTCATAAAAGCATAAAAAAAAAAAAAAAGCATTCCCTTTTCTTTATCTGTTTATAATAATAATATGTGAAAACAAAAGATGCCCTTTTACAAGTCACCCACATTATTCCACTTGAAAAGAACTATCAGATGACATGATGCCACCTTCTATGTTTCTAGAAACCTATTTCAAAACATAAGAAAACCCACCTCACAGGGTTAAAAAAATAGCTATCTTTCCATCTAATTTATGTTAATTAGATTTAAAACTAATGGCTTTTTAAATATATTTTCATAATTTTTTCTGATAAAGTTAATGTTGGAAAAGTATCATATTATTCTTTTTGCTGTGTATTAAAGACAGCTCTCCGAATGTCAAATTAAGCTTGAATTTTGAAGCCAGTATGTTTGAAAAATCAAAAGCACTAAATCAATGTAATAATTGGATTCACATGATTGCAAAAAAAAAAAAATCAAATTTCAATTATTACTTCACAATCTGACTTAAAATAGCTTTATCATAATCCAAAAATCAGATAGAATTACATGGAAAAAGTAAAAGCATAACGTATATTTTCAAAACACTATATACCAAAAATCAAGAGTGTTTCGCTCATGAAAGATGGTAATTCAAACTAATGTCTTTGGCCAAAATCCAGCTCAAGAATTCTACCAAACACATGTACAAAATGCTTCTACTAGGTTTAGACTTGGCTTCTAAATCTCTCTGTACTTTTGTCATCAACTAGAGGATGACACCATGGTCTTTTCAAGCACATTAATGACATTATCAAGAACTTTTTGGTTAGTTTTTTAGTTAGTTTCTTTGTTCGTTTAATACTAACTCTGGTCTTGAATATAAGATTTAATTTATAATTTGAATTAAACTAGAAACCAGACCTTATATTAAAAACTGGAGTTTGTATTAATAATGACTTCATGGAGAGGAAAAAACATGAACAACATGCAGTGTGTATACCCCTTAAACAAGGAATCCAACTTCAACCTTACTTACAGGGGGGAAAAAATTGTTGGGTCAAACATAGGAAAGTATATGCTGAGAGAGCTTCTTGTCATTGAAGATCCAGACCCTAGGGAACCATAGTACTATATACTTCCTTCAATTTTGAATATAAAGCTTTTTAACTAATTTATAAAATATGTATTTGTTGTTTGTAATTAATATGTAGAAAATTTTATAACACTTTCTGAACACACACCTATAATTTAATTATTAAAATTTAATAATGTACAGAAATAAAAAAAATATTTTAATAAATAAGCATAGTATAAGAAAGAAAATTTTAAATAGCATATAAGAGGAAATGTAATATTATATTTAAAACCAAATCAAGACTCACATGTTTTGTTAAACCGCTCATAAGAATCATATTTTGACTTTTATCTCGAGAATATCCAACAATAACTTGTATTGAATGAATAATGGATCTGGATTCTAAAAACAACAATGCTTTTGAATGAATCTTATATTTAAAATTGGAATGAGTACTGAATGGTTAAATAATTATGTATGAAATTTAAATTTTTCATTATTTTTAATTTTATCAAAATACATTATATATGGTTATTTCTCTATTAATTATCTAATATTCTATACTATTAAATCAAGTTCAATTATTGTCAAACCTATTTGAGATAGCCCATCTAACATAATTTTTTATTTACATATTCAAGCCCTAAACTTAAAAGAAATTAAAGGTGTTCCACTTGACCCCCACTCATTAGTTATATGCTCAGTTCCATTGGCGATGAGAAATTAGCATCAATCAATATGTTAAGGGAAATCAACAAGTAAATCATAACACAATAATTTATCCTTCACATCATCTCATGCCATCTTAAGCTCATCCTTCCCTATAAACCAAACCAGGTCTAGTTCATAGACTTGAAGGAGACCCAACTCTCACAGAATTCCACCACCACAACAGGAGACTACCATTTCAGAAACTTGCAAAGGCTATGGCTTATTGTGAGAGAGAGAGAGAGAGAGAGGAGCCAACGTGTCATATGTATAGAAGACCTTCACGGCTCCGATGTACTTATCCACAAGGATGCCACAAGCCAGCCAGCCTGCCTGCCTGTTCTGGTTCAACCCCATTGGAGGAGTACACTATTATATTATTTCTCTGTTTCACTTCAATATTATTACTGTTATTATTATTATTATATATCAGAGCCATTACTGTTCTCACAAACACCTAGGCGTAGGACAGTTAAAAATCCCACAGTAACTCACACACGGGCACTGTCCTACACAGTCACAGAGCCCCAAAGATTCCCAAAAACCGTGCACTTTTGTCATACGTGTGGGCATCTACATCTTCTTTTAGATCTCTGCATGCCCTTTCCTGTCACATATCAGAAAGTAAAGGGTAGGCAGGCACATATATATTTATATGTTTATTTGTGTTTGTGTGTACAAGGCAGAGAAAGAAAGTGGCATCCCTCACATGGGTGGGTGTTGGTGGGTAGGACCCATACACACCCTGGCATTATATAAATGTGTGGGACCCACTTGCAGTGTCAGCAGCCCCCCATGTGATGGTGGTGTGCCTTGTGGGGTCCCCACCTTCTTCAATAATGGCATCAAAATAAAAGACAGACCCCACCAGTTCACACAACTTGAAAAGTGAAAAATAATTGAAGGGAAGGAACAGACAAAGAGACAAAACCTCTCCTTAGAATGAAGGAGATGCGAAGGAAGAGAGGAGGCAAAGGCAAATAGCAAGAGAAGAGAGTGCAATTTAGTCATTAAAAAAAAAACTCACTTTTGCTTTCTGATTTTTCTTCTTTCTAAATCCTTTTCCTTTCTGTCTAAGTAGAGGGGATTGAGGTTGACATTTTGTGTATAACAACAGCAAAGTAGAAGTACAAACAAACTTCAACAACAGATGAAATATTAGATGGAAGAAGAAATCTCCCCTTTTGAGCTTTAAGCCAAGCTAAAGAAGATTTTTTTTCCCCTAGCAATTATGCCTTCTTCCCCCTCCTACTCCTCATTCTCTTTCTTTCAAACTCAAATTAGTGATTACCCATCATGGGATTTGTTGAATCAGGCCTTGTAGTGTGTCTCTGCTTTTTACCACTGTTGCCCTCTCTTCTGCCTCTTCTTTTCCTCTGGCTTGAGCTTCAGCTGTACAAGGACGCTTACAATATAACTCTTAACAACATTAAGACTAACATAAACTACACTAAGTCCACCCACAATGGGTAATTAAAAGGAGAAGAAATTACAGTGCCAGAATAGTTTTCTTTCTTTCCCTACTACACTCTGATTCTTTCTGTGTTATTTTTTACCTGTGGTTCAGCTACTACAGAAAATGAGAAGAAAGATTAAATTAAAATGGTACAATAACCACAACGGGAAGATGGGGAGAAATAGCTGGGCCCCACTTCCTGTACTGCACTGCTTTTTACGTATGCATTTTGTATGGTAGTAAGTAGTATAGTATTGATGATGATGGTGATGGCCATGGTGGTGGTGGTGATGATTTTTTTTTCTCTCTACAGATTTGTTTGATGTGGAGGGTTTGTTTGGTTGGTAAAGCCTTGCTTCTCTTCCTGTGGACAAAACACAAGATAGCCAAAATTAAGACCAAACCCACCTCTTCAATTATACAACACCAAAAGCACAAATGCTATGCACGTTTAAGACAACAAAGCTGCAAATGAGCTCAAAAAGAAAAAGATTCACCCAAAAAGTAATTTACCTGAGCTCAGGATGCTAAATGCCGCCACCAGTGCCGGCAGCAAACATTCCGATGGTTCCATGGCCGGAAGAGAACCTGGGTTGAAAGTTTGAAACCCAGGTCAGCAAAAGTTTAAAACTTTATTAACACTGAAACTCATGGTGGATATGGGGAGAAAAACATAGAATTAAATGTGAATGCCAGATAACAATTATAACGGTACCTGGGCAATTGGCAATTGAAAGATTTGAAAGATCCCATGTCCAGAGCAGATGCTGCTGGAAGCAATGAACTATTTCCAAATTTAGAGTTAGCAGATGAAACAGAAGCATCTGAACCAATGGCCTCATTAGGTCCACAGGAGAAGGCAGCCATGTAGTCTCCAGCAGCTTTTGTGGGAGAAGCAAAAGGACTATCAGGGAGATTATGGTCCAAACTGCATTAATTCATTTTAACCCAATTAGATATATATGAACTCCAAAAGAGAATCAAATTTAGGGCAAAAATTCAAATCCTGGAATAAATGCACATAACTTTTAGCATGAACTTAAAGGAGGAATTTTTGCTATTCTGGTAGCCTTTAGATTATTCCAAGTGATAAAAAAAGAAGTCGCATACCATTCTTGCAATTCACGGTCTTCATGACTAGAAGAAGAACTCTGCTTGCCATTGCCTTCAGTATTTCCATTTTCTCCATTCACTGTCACTTCTTTCCCCGCAGAAACGTTGATTGCTTGCTGCAATGGCTGCTGATCAACAGGAATTGATGCAGTACTAGGAGGAGCTGAGCTAGTAACACTCTCTGGTATATCATCAAACAGAAAGCATCACCACTGAGTTCATCTTTCAGAGTTGAACCAAAGTGCATTTTGAAAATCATACAGATTGCACATCTATTATACCTTCTGGGGCCTCGGTGCTGCTGTGAAATGGAGGAAGAACAAGATTCTGAGAGAACATATTGGGAGATTGAGTCGGAGAAGGTATTGGACTTCCAGTGGAAAGTGCTCGGTGGTGTTGCTTCTTGATGTCAAGAAGTTGCAGACCCATCAACCTCCTGCTTTGGAACTCAAGAGCTTGCTGCAAATCAGCCTGCTCCTCAAGCTTCCTCCTCCACAGCATGTCTTGAGTATTATAGTACATTCTCCCTCCTAAGGTTTTTTTTTTTTTTGCCGCAGAAAAGATGCTCAGAATACGAAGTAAAGATTTCAAAATCTCTCTTAAAGAAAGAATATTTGAAAGGTTAAAAGCATTAACCCACCAAGTTGGAGATCAAATGGGTCTCTAGCATCAAGTCCAGTAGGAGTACCACAAGGTGAGAAATCTCCCCTATCTACCTGTTGCTGCTGCTGCTGCTGCTTCCTGCAAATGAAGAAGAAGAAGAATGAGGTAAGCATGTGTGATAAGGTGGATAGAGATAGATGGACAGATATTACTCATGAAGATGATAAAAGATGAAGAAGGAGAGAGTGCCTGTACTTGTCTGGAACTTTGCCTTTTTCCTTATAAGGCTTAACGAGAACTCGAGCATCACAAACGAAATGAGGGTTTCCTTTGGACAGAATGAGCTTCACAGTCTCTGGATAAACGAAGGTCACGAAACCAAACATACGCTTCTGCTGGTATGGGATCCTCACGTCTTGAACAGGCCCATAAATGCTTCAACAGCAGTTGAAATTATAGTAAGTTTACCAAACAATGGAATAATTAACGAAAGAGAAGAAAAGAAAAATCAGTTCCAAAGTTAAAAAACCAACCTGAAATAATTCGAAACATCTTCCTCTCTGAAAGTGCTATCTGCTGGGAAGGTCAAGTAAATCTGTCTTGAAGCTGGGTTCACCATTCCAGGACCCCCATTCAGAGAAAACTCACTTCTCTCTAGCCTGGATCGACCAAACTTGTGCAAATCCTCGTTCATCATGAGTGCAGCAGCAGCTCTGCAAGAAATCATCGAACGACAAAGTTTGAAAAAAAAAATCTAAACATAATAATAATGATAATAACTTTTAAAACACACGATTGAAAAACTTCTGATAAAATTTGCAGTTTTTGTTGTTTGTTGTACCTTTGGCTATCATTTTGTTGCTGTTGTAGCAGAAGATTCATACACTTAGGAGAATATGGGAAAGAAGAAGCCATGAGCTGTGAAGCAGCAGCCAATCTTTGTTGCTGAACACTCTTGGATCTGAGAAGTTCATGACACTGGTCCACCATCTCCATCTTGCTCGGAGACCCCACCACCATTGAAGTTCCATCACCATCTCCAAGACCACCATGAAGAAACCTGCAAGTGTTCCCATTCTTGCAGTAACCTCGAGCGAAGTAAAGACAAGGCTTCCATCCCAAACCAGAATTCAATTCCTCCGACCCCAAACAGGCGTCGTTCACCGAGCAGCTCCGGCGGTGGTGCGCCGCCGACCCTCCTCCCCAACCAAAGCCGCCGCCGCCGGCGCCTAAGGCAGCTCCGGTGGGACTAGAAGACAAATCTGACTGAGGAGGGTAAAACAAATCCGGGCTTTTAGGTCCAAGCGTCGGAGAAGATCCATCATTGAGGAAAGAAAGCTGGTCTTGGAGCTGAAACTCCTCAATCGGGTCGGATCCTCCGTTTCCATAGAAGGGTAAAGAGGTAGACGAAGAAATCAAATCACTAGGGCACTGAAGTTCAGATAGAGATGGAGTACTAGTAGTTGCACTAGTGCAGTGCAGAAGCTTAGAAGAAGTAGAATTTTGTCTGGAAATAGGAACTGGGTTAGAAGTTGCAGAAAGAAAAGGAGATGGTGAAGATGGAGTTGAAGGTGTAGACGGAGAGTTCGAGGGAAGTAATCCCAAGTCGCTTCGAGCTTTGACTACCACAGAATGAACCAAAGCTTCAGGTCCAAACGCTAAACGAATCATCTCTTTCTCGCCATGGTCTTGAATCAGAAGCAGACCCATGATTTTGGAAGCATTCTCAGGGTCCAAGTTCTGGATCCTAGAGAACACTATTCTCGTTGCTTCATACCCATCCATGGCAGATGAAGTTCAGGGAAGGAAGAAAAGAAAAACCTTTAAGAAAAAAAAACTAATTTTTTTGTTGGTTCAGCGAGATCTGTCACTCTCTCTCTTTCTCTCTCTGTCAGCTATATTTCTGAGTGCTAAATGGTGTTCCTGTTCCTCATATTCTTCCTGCAAAGGCCAAGAAAAGCAAGTTAAAGAAGAAGAGGAGAGAAATAAGAAAGTGAAGTAGCAAAAGTAGTATTCTCGTGTGGATGATTAAAAGGGGTGGATACTGATGGAGGATGCCTTTGATAAAAGGAAGAAGAGAGAGAGAGAGAGATAATAAGAGGACATGAAAGATAGTGGTTGAATTTCTCCGATGTTAATTAAAATATTATTTAAGAAAAAGGAGAGAAAGTAAGGGAAACAGCAACAAAATCAAATCTTCTGTTCCTGCTTAGTTTCAGAAGCTCGAAATCAAGAAGGAGAACACAAACCAAACTCACCCATAAGAAAGACGATAAGCTTCTTCTATCTTTCCTTCCTTCTTCTTCTTCTTCCTTTCTTTAGGGCTGAAAGTGTAGTCAACTTAGCAGAAAAGCCAAACCACCGCCTTGTTTAGAGCAGTGGTAGGAGCAGCAGGAGCAGGAGCGGCAGAAGAACCATCAATTGCTTCACTGCCCCTGCTGTGTGTGTTTTATGGGGTTCTGGGCAACTGAAGTTGAAAGCTTTCTCTCTCTATCTTACTTTCTCTCTCCTCTCGCTTTCTCTCTCTCTCTCTCTAAATCCCAAGATTTCCTTCTCGCACTAGTCACTACTTGCTACTTCTACTACATATACAACACTTGCCACTTTCTCTGTCCTTTGAAACTTGAGAATCCAAGACCGGTAGGAGTGGCACCAGCAGCGAGAAAGGCCTTGTGTTTTCTTGTTGACAGTAGTACCACTACCATTATTTAGTATACTAGTCAGTCCTCATTTATTACAAACTTTGATAATTAAAATTAATCAAAATAATAAATAGATTAAAAAAATGTGAATATATCCTTATAATAAATTAAAAAAATAAAAGAGAATGTGTGAGAAAAATATAATAAGAGAGAAAATAAATAATTAAAGATAAAATTAGAAAAAATACATAAAAAATCAAATTGAAACTTACAAAATATATATGACACACTTATTTAATTTGAAGTTTACATAGAAGATCGGAAAGAGTATTAATTAATAATACTAGTACTATTCTCTTGCCAAACAGTAATGTCTGGACTGGACAGAAGATTAATTGTATTTTTGAACAATTCCAATGGCAACATTTCCCTTTTAATTTTACCCATTTAATATTTCATTTTTAGAAATTTTTTTATGCCCAGTGTTTAAAATGCCATGGAAAATTAAAACTAATAACATATATGCATCTTATAAAATGCATGGCATATTATACACTAACTATTCACAATCATAATAAATACAAGTTAATTATCATATTCCATGCCATACATAGAGGATTTGGAATTAACAACTTGTTCATCATATTTCATTAACAATATCTTATATAATTGGGGGAAAACAAATAAAAACATAATCCTATAATATATTTGGATATGGCAAAAAAGTGAAGATGTGGTAAAAAAATAATAGAAATTTAGGACAGAATAACATATTTATCATTTTTTTTAATCATGGTAAATACTGTCCAAAGTGTAAAAGTAAGAATTTGGCTTTGCTATACTATCAAGAAAAATAAAAATGGATTATTATTTGTAAAATAAACTATAAATAATATAACTTGTTTTTAATTCTAGATACACATTTCAGTCTAACCCTAAGGATAAGACTTGATCAATACACTCTTATACATAAATAAAAATAATTGTTAATTATTATATAAAAATATATGTTAGTTTTCATCAAATAAGAGTTTTAAATTTTAAGTTTTTCCCAAAGAATCTTTTAAATTTTAATCATTCAATATATTAGAATCTGAAATTTTGTGTAATTAATAGCAATGGTTTGAAAAAAATAAAAATAAAAGAGAGAAGATCGAAATCATATATTTTCAATTAGTTTCATTATTTATTAGGAAAAAAGAAAAAGTTCCAATTTTATTTGTGGCAAGTTGGAAGCTTTTTGGGTAGGCGTTGAGGTGAGTGGATCTAGATCTGCCTCCGGTTCACTTTCCCTTAGGCCTTAACCTCTCTCTCTGTATTTTATTTTTGTTTTTTTAGACAATTTATATTATTCTGATTATTATACTATATTTGCAGTACAGGCGCTGTATAGGAGTTTGTACTCCACGCTCCAACCGAATCTGTGATGGGTATGGTGGGACCCACTCAAGACGACATCATGATGATCTGTTATTGGAGAGTGAATCACACGCTCTGAGGTTTTCGGCTTGATTGGCTCATCATGTGGCCCGGTCAATGCCCCTCCCCAAAACCGCAAGTCCACATTTTTTAACTGTCAACTTATTATGAACATTGTTAAAATGGCCATCCCTGTTTAATATTTCTTTTTTTGTTATAAGACTTAGTTATTAAGTTAATTTTTATTTTAAATATAAATTTTATTTATTATATTTATTAATTTTTGTTAAATTATTTTTATTGATATTTCCTCAATTATAATTAAATAAGAGATGAAAAAAGAATACCAAAAAAAAGATGATTTTAGTATTTTAGAAAAAACACATTATATTTTTTATAAACAACTAACTTAACTAACTTTTTTAATCTAATTAAATTATTTAAATAGGTATTATATTAAGGACAAGAGGAGTATTTATTAAAATTTCTTCTACATTTATGACTTAATTAATTATTACTCCTTTGATCCTTAATATAAACCATATTTAACTAATTTGATTATATTAAGGAAGTTAGATGAGTTAGTTAATTATAAGAAATAACATATTTTTTCTAAAATATCATAATCATTTTTCTTAATGTTTTCCTCTCTCACTTACTTGATTATGGTTGAGGAGTATCCATAAGGATAATTTTAAAAAAATTGATAAATATGAGAAAAAAATTATATTTAGGACCAAAATTGACTTAATAATTAGTTCCTATATTAAGGACCATAGGAGTACTTGGCTGACAAAAAAAATTAATTATTACTTGGTAAAAATATTATAAATATTATGACTTAATATAAATTTTATCTTAGTATATACTGTATTTATATATAGGTTAATACAATTTTTGATCCGTCAAAATTACTCTCATTTTAGTTTTGCTTCATCAGATTTCAAACCATATGTTTTGATTCATCAATTTTTTTCATTTAAAACATTCGTTCATATAATTTAATAAATATTTAGATGATTTTGTCTTTTGAAAAACAAAAACCTATGATTCAAAACTTATGGGACCAAAATCGAAATGAACACAAATTTATGGAATTAGATATTATATTAACCCTTTATATATATTGATGATGTTTTTAATTAAAATTTGACATTGCTATACATGATTTATCTTTAATTAAAATTTACTCTCATGTTTCAAAATTATTTACGCATTAATAGATGATACAACATGTAGTGACCATAATATTTGTAATATTTTTACCGCGTAATAATCAATTAGTGTTGGTGGATGTCATTGATTTATTTTTGTTTAGTTTTCACATCTCAATTAGATTCTATTAATTAATGGATAAAAATTATCGTATATGATTAATGTGCTTTTGCCGAGTAGTTTGTTATATATATATATATATATATATATATATATTGCCATTACAAAATTTAATTAACATTAATAATAAGCAATGATATAAATAAAATTCATAAAATTAACAAATTTAAGAACTCATCAATGGAAGATCTTCATTCCATTCTCAAAGCATGTATACAGGTATGTGTGTGTGTGTGGGATTAATGGTCTTCAAAGCTGTCTTATTAAATCCATTGCATTATAAGGAGTAGTTAGGTTACTAATTTTGCTGGTCAAAAAAAAAAAAAGTTAGGTTACTAATTTTATATAAAAGTTAAAAAAAAATTATTCATGTTTATCACCGTAAATTACATTCATGAAGATATAGAAATTGCAATCAATGAAATTTTTAAAAACTAATTTTGAAAATTTTAATTAATACCCTAATTGACCTGTTACAATAATATAGATTGCCTTTTTTTCCCCTCAAAAGGTGTCTTATAACAAAAATCCAACTAGGATATAAGAATGAAACAACTTAAGTAATATTATGAAGATATACCACGTCTAGTCCTTCATATAATAAACGTGTGTTAAGAAAATTTATTAAATTAATTATTATGTATAATAAATGTGTGTTGTATTTTCTAAAATATATTTACTAATTATGTATACTAGTTAAAACTATCATTTAATTAAACATTTAACATGTGTAATTATTACAATGATTATATTAGAAAGAACAGATAAATATAAAAGACAAAATAGATTGAGGTCTTATATATAGAATCAATTTAAATATTAAATTAATTTTTATATTAAAGATAAGAAACAGTATATCTCATGCTTTAAAAGACACTCAGTGCATTCTCTTAGAAGTATTTCAAAATATCATGTAAGTTTTTCCTAGTTTACCCAAATACATAATTAATCTGCCATCTGGATCATTTTATGTTGGGACACGTATAGATATAAACAATTTATAATTACAAATGATCATAAATTAACATTTTCATAGAAAAGATCATAATGCATATTATATGTTTAAGTGACGAAACTAATTTAATCTTTTATTTTGGTATTTATGTGTTATTGGGCTTTCACTACTTTTTGCATGTAAATAAATAAGTGGTGGGTGCAGGAGAGAAAGAGAATAAACAGTTTCCTCTTGATGCTTCCCACGTGGGTGTGGTTTTTTAAGGAAAAAATTAATAGTTGATAGAGAATTATTTTGAATAAAAAATTATATTTATATTAAATAAATAAATAAAATAACTTTCAACTTGAAATTTTTGAACGTAACTTTCTTTCTTTTCTGAAGGGGCATTTCCAAATACGCCATGCAATATACTCCTCTGTCCTAGTAGAGAGAAAATGTTTTTTAATCCTATTTATAAGTCATTCTATTAAATTTTTAACGTAAATATACTATTTTCTCCTTCATTTATTATAGTGTAAGTAGTTATCTCTTATAAAATGTGTATATATTAAATATGGGTAAAATTAGAAATTTGTTTTATTTTAGTGGAGAGTTAATGCAGTTTAAGATTTTTTGTTATTTGTATGAAATATGCTGAAAGTGTCTTATAAACAAGATCAGAGAAGTGTATATAAGCATAATACTACAAGTGAATTAAATACACATCGCTTTCTCCTCGTATTTTGTATTCAAGGCTGTTGTTTCCTGGTTGGAAAATATCTCCGAACATTAATTACAACTCCACGAACGTTTTAAACATGAACATTTTTCTTATACCTCTTTCTCTTACGTAATTCTCCGTGTATTCAAATTTTATAATCTCATTTGTGCATATTTTAAATCAAATTTAATTTGTTAAAACCTTCACCCTGTTTGTCTCTTTTCCATTCCCCCATTGTATATTAAACACAGGATAATAACGCGTTTCATTTCATGTTGAAAATTTTGATGGAAACAAATAATTACTTGAAAATTGAAATTCTAATGATGTATGCTCATTTAATTAAAAAAAATAGTTAATGAAGGACATTTTTTTCTTGAAAAAAAACGTCTTGAATGCATCTCAAATTTTATTGTTTTTGCTTATAAAAGAAACCTAAAAATCCATGTTGAACATTTGCTTCTATAAAAAAAAAAATGGAGGGACTATTGTAGATTCCGCATGATATAC